CAGGAGATCCTGGGTTCAAATCCCAGCAGTGCCTCTAACACACTGTTTTCACTTCATTTTCATAATTAAAACTTTTTTGAAAAGAAGTTCAACTCGTTTTTGGTTTAAACGCTTCAAGTAGAGGCTCTGTGGCTTAGTTGGTCAAAGTGCCTGTCTAGTAAACAGGAGATCCTGGGTTCAAATCCCAGCAGTGCCGTTAACCTCTGTTTTGACTTCCTTTTTTTTATTATTCCAACTTGGTGAGATATTACATTTTACTTTTGTGCATTAAAACCTGGTGAAATACAGCTAAACTCAAGATCTTTAGGAATGAAAGGCATATCCAAGGGCTCTGTGGCTTAGTTGGTTAAAGCGCCTGTTTCGTAAACAGGAGACCCTGGGTTCAAATCCCAGCAGGGCCTTCGTCGCTATAATATTCATTTAGTGTTCATAATGCCTTGTTTCAAACGAGATTCCAGTTTCATAGGGACGAGTCTACTAACAAAGGCAATGTGGTTTGATGCTTGACTGACTGTCTCAAAAGATCCTGTTTAATTCTCGACCCCATCTTTAAAAGTTTAACAGCATTTTTAGATTCCCAACATGGTAAAAATGAATTAAATTTAATCGTTTTCAGGAAAAACTTAAAACAGTGGCGCTGTGGCTTAGCTGGTCAAAGTGCCTGTCTTGTAAACAGGAGATCCTGGGTTCAAATCCCAGCAGTGCCTTTAACCCAGTGTTTTGACTTCATTTTCATAATTAAAACTTTTTTGAAAAGAAGTTCAACTCGTTTTTGGTTTAAACGCTTCAAGTAGAGGCGCTGTGGCTTAGTTGGTCAAAGTGCCTGTCTAGTAAACAGGAGATCCTGGGTTCAAATCCCAGCAGTGCCTTTAACCCAGCGGTTTTCACGTCATTTTCATAATTAAAACTTTTTTGAAAAGGTATTCAATTCGTTTTTTGTTTAGGTGCTTCAAGTAGAGGCTCTGTGGATTAGTTGGTCAAAGTGCCTGTCTAGTAAACAGGAGATCCTGGGTTCAAATCCCAGCAGTGCCTTTAACCTCTGGTTTGACTTCCTTTTTTTTATTATTCCAACTTGGTGAGATATTACATTTTACTTTTGTGCATTAAAACCTGGTGAAATACAGCTAAACTCAAGATCTTTAGGAATAAAAGGCATATCCAAGGGCTCTGTGGCTTAGTTGGTTAAAGCGCCTGTTTCGTAAACAGGAGACCCTGGGTTCAAATCCCAGCAGGGCCTTCGTCTCTATAATATTCATTTAGTGTCCATAATGCCTTGTTTACAAACGAGATTCCAGTTTCATAGGGACGAGGGTACTAACAAAGGAAATGTGGTTTGATGCTTGACTGACTGTCTCAAAAGATCCTGTTTAATTCTTGACCCCATCTTTAAAAGTTTAACAGCATTTTTAGATTTCCAACATGGTAAAAATGAATTAAATTTAATCGTTTTCAGGAAAAACTTAAAACAGTGGCGCTGTGGCTTAGCTGGTCAAAGTGCCTGTCTTGTAAACAGGAGATCCTGGGTTCAAATCCCAGCAGTGCCTTTATAACCCAGTGTTTTCACTTCATTTTCATAATTAAAACTTTTTTGAAAAGAAGTTCAACTCGTTTTGGGTTTAACAGCTTCAAGTAGAGGCGCTGTGGCTTAGATGGTCAAAGTGCCTGTCTAGTAAACAGGAGATCCTGGGTTCAAATCCCAGCAGTGCCTTTAACCCAGTGTTTTGACTTCATTTTCATAATTAAAACTTTTTTGAAAAGAAGTTCAACTCGTTTTTGGTTTAAACGCTTCAAGTAGAGGCTCTGTGGCTTAGTTGGTCAAAGTGCCTGTCTAGTAAACAGGAGATCCTGGGTTCAAATCCCAGCAGTGCCGTTAACCTCTGTTTTGACTTCCTTTTTTTTATTATTCCAACTTGGGGAGATATTACATTTTACTTTTGTGCATTAAAACCTGGTGAAATACAGCTAAACTCAAGATCTTTAGGAATAAAAGGCATATCCAAGGGCTCTGTGGCTTAGTTGGTTAAAGCGCCTGTTTCGTAAACAGGAGACCCTGGGTTCAAATCCCAGCAGGGCCTTCGTCGCTATAATATTCATTTAGTGTTCATAATGCCTTGTTTCAAACGAGATTCCAGTTTCATAGGGACGAGTCTACTAACAAAGGCAATGTGGTTTGATGCTTGACTGACTGTCTCAAAAGATCCTGTTTAATTCTCGACCCCATCTTTAAAAGTTTAACAGCATTTTTAGATTCCCAACATGGTAAAAATGAATTAAATTTAATCGTTTTCAGGAAAAACTTAAAACAGTGGCGCTGTGGCTTAGCTGGTCAAAGTGCCTGTCTTGTAAACAGGAGATCCTGGGTTCAAATCCCAGCAGTGCCTTTAACCCAGTGTTTTCACTTCATTTTCATAATTAAAACTTTTTTGAAAAGAAGTTCAACTCGTTTTGGGTTTAACAGCTTCAAGTAGAGGCGCTGTGGCTTAGATGGTCAAAGTGCCTGTCTAGTAAACAGGAGATCCTGGGTTCAAATCCCAGCAGTGCCTTTAACCCAGTGTTTTGACTTCATTTTTCTGATTAAAACATTTTTTGAAAAGGTATTCAATTCGTTTTTTGTTTAGGTGCTTCAAGTAGAGGTGCTGTGGCTTAGTTGGTCAAAGTGCCTGTCTAGTAAACAGGAGATCCTGGGTTCAAATCCCAGCAGTGCCTTTAACCCAGTGTTTTCACTTCATTTTCATAAATAAAACTTTTTTGAAAAGAAGTTCAACTGTTTTTTGGTTTAAACGCTTCAAGTAGAGGCTCTGTGGATTAGTTGGTCAAAGTGCCTGTCTAGTAAACAGGAGATCCTGGGTTCAAATCCCAGCAGTGCCTTTAACCTCTGTTTTGACTTCCTTTTTTTTATCATTCCAACTTGCTGAGATATTACATTTTACTTTTGTGCATTAAAACCTGGTGAAATACAGCTAAACTCAAGATCTTTAGGAATAAAAGGCATATCCAAGGGCTCTGTGGCTTAGTTGGTTAAAGCGCCTGTTTCGTAAACAGGAGACCCTGGGTTCAAATCCCAGCAGGGCCTTCGTCTCTATAATATTCATTTAGTGTCCATAATGCCTTGTTTACAAACGAGATTCCAGTTTCATAGGGACGAGGGTACTAACAAAGGAAATGTAGTTTGATGCTTGACTGACTGTCTCAAAAGATCCTGTTTAATTCTCGACCCCATCTTTAAAAGTTTAACAGCATTTTTAGATTTCCAACATGGTGAAAATGAATTAAATTTAATCGTTTTCAGGAAAAACTTAAAACAGTGGCGCTGTGGCTTAGCTGGTCAAAGTGCCTGTCTTGTAAACAGGAGATCCTGGGTTCAAATCCCAGCAGTGCCTTTAACCCAGTGTTTTCACTTCATTTTCATAATTAAAACTTTTTTGAAAAGAAGTTCAACTCGTTTTTGGTTTAAGCGCTTCAAGTAGAGGCGCTGTGGCTTAGATGGTCAAAGTGCCTGTCTAGTAAACAGGAGATCCTGGGTTCAAATCCCAGCAGTGCCTTTAACCTATGTTTTGACTTCCTTTTTTTATTATTCCAACTTGGTGAGATATTACATTTTACTTTTGTGCATTAAAACCTGGTGAAATACAGCTAAACTCAAGATCTTTAGGAATAAAAGGCATATCCAAGGGCTCTGTGGCTTAGTTGGTTAAAGCGCCTGTTTAGTAAACAGGAGACCCTGGGTTCAAATCCCAGCAGGGCCTTCGTCTCTATAATATTCATTTAGTGTCCATAATGCCTTGTTTACAAACGAGATTCCAGTTTCATAGGGACGAGGGTACTAACAAAGGAAATGTAGTTTGATGCTTGACTGACTGTCTCAAAAGATCCTGTTTAATTCTTGACCCCATCTTTAAAAGTTTAACAGCATTTTTAGATTTCCAACATGGTGAAAATGAATTAAATTTAATCGTTTTCAGGAAAAACTTAAAACAGTGGCGCTGTGGCTTAGCTGGTCAAAGTGCCTGTCTAGAAAACAGGAGATCCTGGGTTCAAATCCCAGCAGTGCCTTTAACCTTTGTTTTGACTTCCTTTTTTTATTATTCCAACTTGCTGAGATATTACATTTTACCTTTGTGCATTAAAACCTGGTGAAATACAGCTAAACTCAAGATCTTTAGGAATAAAAGGCATATCCAAGGGCTCTGTGGCTTAGTTGGTTAA